TATATAAAAAACATGTCTATGAAGTGTTTTGCTCAAAATACCAAACAGATCACCCATTCTAGCCATGCCTCATATCCCTCTGTTTCACTTCCTGTTTCTAAAGTGCTGATTTTGGGTATAAAGCTTTAAAAAAGCTGGCAGCTACTGTCTAAACTAAATACTGCCGTGATGAAACGCCATATCATGGATTATCAAGGATTATCTCTGAAACAGTATGGAGCTCAAAGGCTTTCTCTCTTGCCGGTTATACCACAAGGTGAGTTCCTTTTTATTTCCTGCTTTTTCACACACATGCTCTCCAGTACAGGTTAGCTCTGAGTGTTAGCGATGCTAATGTAAACACCGACCATATTACGTCTAAAACAGTCGGGCATTGTTTCTGATAGCGGCTGTGGGTCCACATTTCAGATATGACGTCAAATCGGACGCAAATCTGGATCAGCTCCGTTGTTCCCCCGTTTTTAGAGATTTGGGTACGGAGGAAAAGAGAGAGGGTTTTATTTTCTGACGCTGCGTGAGTTCCCTGACACACCGGGGACACATGTTTATGTTTAAAAGACATCAAAAAGTGCATTTTGCATGATAGGTCCCCTTTAAGTTATTCTTCTTTTTTATCCAGTCTAAAATGGAGCAACTGTCATGACACCCAATACGCCCCGGGATAAATTAAACATTCTAATTAACCTTCTCTAGTCTAAAATAACGTCAGACGAAGATTTCGAGAATGAATAATTGATATTAAGACTCACCCACGAGCCCAACAATGAGCAGTTTCCCCAAAAACAAGAGGAAGTCTGTCACTTTGTCCAGGACAGCCACCCTGGGGGATTTAAAGAAATATAAAATTATATTCTGTAAATAAAATCAAAATAAATTAAACTGTATTAAATCCACCTCACCTGATCATGTTCCTCATGAGGAGGAAGAAGGCGTTTTTGGCGGAGGTGCAGAAGTTATTCCCGTAGATCGCCGTCTACAGGACAAAACACTCATTACACTCAAATACTTTATAAACATTAGCATAAACAAGGTATAAAGTAATAAAGCACGCACCATGATGTAGGCGTTTCTGTTGATGAACTTGACAAATTTCTCCAAACACCAGAAGCAGCATTTCAGGCAGCACAGCAGGAACTTGGTGCATTTATTATGAGCTCCTGTGAAAAATTAAAAAAACTAATGAAATATATTAGTTGAAAAATATATAGAGAAGATGACAAAGGGTAAACTTGTTCCGTTTTATAAGTCTTGAAATCATAAAGTTTGTAGTAATTTTGTCATAATATTTAAGGTCCTGATGTAATTGGATAACCTTTTATTCAAGTCTAAAGGTTAGACAGAGATTTAACAGTAAAAAGTAAGAGATAGGAATTATTTATAGATTGTGTTTTGTTCTTTTTGCACTTGAAACTTATTGGTAAACAACCAATAGAATCGGAGGCATGAAACCCCTCTTTAATGGTCACACATGCAGAGCACACAGCGAAATTTGGCCTCTGCATTTAACCCATCCTAGTCCCAGGAGTCTAGTACTAGGAGCAGTGGGCAGCTATTGTACAGCGCCCGGGGAGCAATGGGAGTGGCTTGTGGCAGTGCCTTGCTCAAGGGCACCACGGCAGGGCAGGAGGTGAACTGGGACCTCTCCAAGTAGCAGTCCACGCTCCATATTTGAACCGGCGACCCTACAGCTCCCAGTCCAAGCCCCTACTGACTGAGCCACTGCCGGATAAAATAAATACCAACAACAATGTGAATCAAACCGCAGCAGACCTTTGAGCTTGTGGTCCAGATACTCCAGCAGAACTCTGATGATCTGAACGATGGAGAGGATCAGGGAGCCGAACGCCAGAGTTCCTGTGTGATACCTGAAAAAACAGACAATAATAATAACTTGTATGTATGTATATAGCGCCTTT